ATAGCTTCCTTGTGCTGTTGAGTCTGAGTTCTGTTACATATTCTTATATAAATGTGAATATTCCTTAAATAACTATATAATTATACATACCTTCATGCTAGAATAAAACATATGTTTACATATTTTTATAATATATCGTGTGAGTTGGCAAGAGTGGGGACAGGAGCGGGGATTACTAGTCAGGTATTAGACCTGTGATACTAGTCAACTTCCTGCTAGAGTACAGGAAGCTTGTATTGTGTAGTTGCCAGCAGTTTCCTCTTAATTATTTTCCATAAATAATTGTTTATTATAAACTACATTACCTCTGTTTATGCATATAAATTTAATCATTCATAATTAAGTTATTTTAATGTTGGTTTTTGCAAAGTATTGTTGCTCATTAAGCAAGATAATTTTATATAAATTTACCATTGGTTATGTTGTGAGGGAGGGAATGTGAGGCGTCGTGACGCCACGTTAGTCAGTAACTGGGAGACAGCGTCGGGTCAACTGCTCTCATAAGTCTGTTTTTGTGTGTTTCTGTTTTTGCTTTAGTAACAATTAGTCTGGTGAGAATTTATATTATAAATATTTTTGTAGGCCATCTGATTACTGATATACCTGAAGGAATAGTAACCTTGATTTATACATATATTTTTATTTTATATAAACCTTTTATTTACCTGTGGGATATTTGCATCCATAGGGAAATTTTTTGCTTATTAAGTATGTACGTAGTGATGTGACATTCTGGTTGGACATTAAGAGACAGGGGGTAATTTGAATACTCCTAGAACGAGCCCTTACTAACCCCTGTAGTGCAACGAGCTATGCGTACCAGTACGTAACAAGTTCTTTGATACTGACACTGTCGCAATAGTACCAGTGATCTTTGTGTTGTCTGGTGGACGACTTTTTCAGTGGAAATGAGTGTTTGGCTGCACTATGAATCGCTCTGACTAATTCTTGTTCATCCTGATTAATGTCTTAGGGAACATCGTAGTTTCTATGCCACTCTACAAGGAGGTTTTTAAATCGGTCCCATTTTGCAAAAACGCAAACTTCCAGTCATCTGGTGGAGGAGGGGTAAGTAGATGCAACTTTAGATCAATTTGGACCCAATAATGGTCGCCTGTGAGTGTGGGGCTCAAATGACCATGTTGCTACTTACCTTCGTTCCAGCCTCCCTAAGAAAGGTCTAATCTACTTCCTTGGATGTGGGTGGGTTCATTCTTGTATAGGATTTGAATTTCTAGTAGCTGCTCTAGTTTATTTGCTATGTTAGTGCTGGCCTCATTTGTTGTTAGAGACCAGTGCCAACTGATGATGGGCATTGAAATCGCAACAAATTGTTTGAGGTGGTCGCGTGTCTAAATAAGAGATCCATTTCAGCACGTAGAGATCTGTAAATATTAAACACTTCAAGTTTGTCATGTCATAGCTCAATGGATACTCCCATCACCTCTGTCCCTGGCCCGCAGTCGGGTGAGCTGGTTATGGGCTTAGCGATCACGTCACATTTCACATAGATGGCACATCCCCTGGATTGCCCGTTGACCCATGGAAGGAAGAAACCTAGATAGCCTGTGATTATAGATTCTAAACAGTCTCGATGCAAGCTCTCCTGTAGTATCTGGATGTCTATGCATTTGGTTGCTGCTATGAATTGCAAGTGCTGCAATTTGGTGTGCAGCCCTTGCGCATTCCATTGCAGGATCTTTAATCCTCTAGGTTGTTGGCATTTGCTGATATTACCGTTGTATCCATGGAATTTAAAATTGGAGGTGAAGATCTTCGTGTACTTGAACTGACTCATCAAGGTCGCTTTCAGAAGTGTTGAACTCGACCTGTTTTCAGGAGTGTTACCTGTCCTGCGTTCTTGAAGGTGAGGATATTGTGTTTTCGAATTTCTTGAGCTTGTGCTCAACTGTTTTTCGAGTCTCTATTGTTTGCTTGATACCGTGTTTCAACAGCAAACTTTCGACCATATTCGTGACCAAGGCCTTAAGCATTGGCCTTGAGCAGGGTGTCCAGTTGCGCGGGAGCACTACTACTGATATAGTTTGGGGCCTGATTATTTTTTGGCCCTTATCAGAGTGAAAACTCTCACTCTTGCCTTCATTGTCCGCAGTGTGGTTAATGGGTGCAATGGGCGGGCGATTACGTTGAACTATTTTCTTGTGGCCCCCAGCCATCCCACTGTCCTGGACGTTATCATGAGGTTATCTTGATGATTTCGGGGCTTAGTGTTCCCGCGGCCCGGTCCTCGACCAGGCCTCCACCCCCAGGAAGCAGCCCGTGACAGCTGACTAACTCCCAGGTACCTATTTACTGCTAAGTAACAAGCGCATCAGGGTGAAAGAAACTCTGCCCATTGTTTCTCGCCGGCGCCCGGGATCGAATCCGGGAACACAGGATCACGCGTCCAGTGTTCTGTCCGCTCAGCCACCGGCTACCAATACCACCATGGTGGTGGAGTATGTAGCTCCCGTTGTTCTGGTGATGGGGTCTGGAGATCCGGTAGTGGTGATGGGGTCTGGAGAACCAAATGTGGTGATGGGGTCTGGAGAACCAAATGTGGTGATGGGGTCTGGAGAACCAAATGTGGTGATGGGGTCTGGAGAACCGGTAGTGGTGATGGGGTCTGGAGATCCGGATCCGGTGTGGTGATGGGGTCTGGAGAACCAAATTCTGGTGATGGGGTCTGGAGAACCAAATTCTGGTGATGGGGTCTGGAGAACCAAATTCTGGTGATGGGGTCTGGAGAACCAAATTCTGGTGATGGGGTCTGGAGAACCAAATTCTGGTGATGGGGTCTGGAGATCCAAATGTGGTGATGGGGTCTGGAGAACCAAGTGGTGATGGGGTCTGGAGAACCAGTGGTGATGTCTGGAGAACCACCTAGGCGATGGGGTCTGGAGATTCCAAGCCTATCGTGGCGATGGGGTCTGGAGAACCAATATGTGGCGATGGGGTCTGGAGAACCAAATGTGGCGATGGGGTCTGGAGAACCAGTATGTTCTGGTGGCAAACCTTTGAACCTTTTCCAGTTTAGTCTTATCCTTGACTAGATATGGACTCCATGCTGGGGCTGCATACTCCAGGATTGGCCTGACATATGTGGTATACAAAGTTCTGAATGATTCTTTACACAAGTTTCTGAATGCCGTTCGTATGTTGGCCAGCCTGGCATATGCCGCTGATGTTATCCGCTTGATATGTGCTGCAGGAGACAGGTCTGGCGTGATATCAACCCCCAAGTCTTTTTCCTTCTCTGACTCCTGAAGAATTTCCTCTCCCAGATGATACCTTGTATCTGGCCTCCTGCTCCCTACACCTATCTTCATTACATTACATTTGGTTGGGTTAAACTCTAACAACCATTTGTTCGACCATTCCTTCAGCTTGTCTAGGTCTTCTTGAAGCCTCAAACAGTCCTCTTCTGTTTTAATCCTCCTCATAATTTTAGCATCGTCCGCAAACATTGAGAGAAATGAATCGATACCCTCCGGGAGATCATTTACATATATCAGAAACAAGATAGGACCGAGTACAGAGCCCTGTGGGACTCCACTGGTGACTTCACGCCAATCGGAGGTCTCACCCCTCACCGTAACTCTCTGCTTCCTATTGCTTAGATACTCCCTTATCCACTGGAGCACCGTACCAGCTACACCTGCCTGTCTCTCCTGCTTATGTACCAGCCTCTTATGCGGTACTGTGTCAAAGGCTTTCCGACAATCCAAGAAAATGCAGTCCGCCCAGCCCTCTCTTTCTTGCTTAATCTGTGTCACCTGATCGTAGAATTCTATCAAGCCTGTAAGGCAAGATTTACCTTCCCTGAATCCATGTTGGCGATTTGTCACGAAGTCCCTTCTCTCCAGATGTGTTACCAGGTTTTTTCTCACGATCTTCTCCATCACCTTGCATGGTATACAAGTCAAGGACACTGGCCTGTAGTTCAGTGCCTCTTGTCTGTCGCCCTTTTTGTATATTGGGACCACATTCGCCGTCTTCCATATTTCTGGTAGGTCTCCCGTCTCTAGTGACTTACTATACACTATGGAGAGTGGCAAGCAAAGTGCCTCTGCACACTCTTTCAGTACCCATGGTGAGATCCCATCTGGACCAACAGCCTTTCTAACATCCAGATCCAGCAGGTGTCTCTTGACCTCCTCTCTCGTAATTTCGAACTCCTCCAAGGCCGCCTGGTTTACCTCCCTTTCTCCTAGCACAGTGACCTCACCCTGTTCTATTGTGAAGACCTCCTGGAACCTCTTGTTGAGTTCCTCACACACCTCTGTCATTCTCTGTATACCTGTCCTCGCCTGTTCTAAGTTTCAATACCTGTTCTTTCACTGTTGTTTTCCTTCTGATGTGACTGTCGAGTAGCTTTGGTTCGGTCTTGGCTTTGTTTGCTGTATCATTTTCAAAAATTTTCTCTGCTTCTCTTCTCACCCTGACGTACTCATTCCTGGTTCTCTGGTATCTCTCTCTGCTTTCTGGTGTTCTGTTATTCCGGAAGTTCCTCCACGCCTTTTTGTTCAGTTTCTTCGCTTCCATACATGCCCTATTATACCATGGATTCTTCTGTTGCTTCTCGGATTTTTCCCTTTGGGCCGGGATGAACCTGTTTACTGCCTCCTGACACTTTTGGGTAACATAGTCCATCATACCCTGTACAGACTTGTCTCTGAGGTCTGTGTCCCAAGGTATTTCACTTAGGAAACTTCTCATCTGTTCATAATTCCCCTTTCGGTATGCCAGCCTTTTGATTCCTAGTTCTTTTTGGGGGGAGATAAGTCCTAGCTCTAGCAGGTACTCAAAGTTCAATACACTGTGGTCACTCATTCCCAAGGGTGCTTCCATCTTAACTTCCCTTATATCCCATTCATTTAGGGTAAATATCAAATCAAGCATTGCTGGTTCATCTTCTCCTCTCATTCTTGTTGGTTCTTTGGTGTGCTGGCTTAGAAAGTTTCTTGTTGCCACGTCCAGCAGCTTAGCTCTCCATGTTTCTATGTGGCGATGGGGTCCGGAGAACCAGATGGAGAACTGGAGAAACCAGATGTGGCGATGGGGTCTGGGGAACCAGATGTGGCGATGGGGTCTGGGGAACCAGATGTGGCGATGGGGTCTGGAGAACCAAATGTGGCGATGGGGATGGGGTGGCGATGGGGTCTGGACGAGAACCAAATGTGGCGATGGGGTCTGGACGAGAACCAAATGTGGCGATGGGGTCTGGACGAGAACCAAATGTGGCGATGGGGTCTGGAGAACCAAATTCTGGCGATGGGGCCTGGAGAACCAAATTCTGGCGATGGGGCCTGGAGAACCAAATTCTGGCGATGGGGCCTGGAGAACCAAATTCTGGCGATGGGGCCTGGAGAACCAAATTCTGGCGATGGGGTCTGGAGAACCAGATGTGGCGATGGGGTCTGGAGAACCAGATGTGGCGATGGGGTCTGGAGAACCAGATGTGGCGATGGGGTCTGGAGAACCAGATGTGGCGATGGGGTCTGGAGAACCAGATGTGGCGACGGGGTCTGGACGAGAACCAGATGTGGCGACGGGGTCTGGACGAGAACCAGATGTGGCGACGGGGTCTGGAGAACCAGATGGGGTCTGGACCAGATGTCTGGCGATGGGGTCTGGAGAACCAGTTGTGGTGATGGGGTCTGGAGAACCAGTTGTGGTGATGGGGTCTGGAGAACCAGTTGTGGTGATGGGGTCTGGAGAACCAGTTGGGGTGATGGGGTCTGGAGAACCAGTTGGGGTGATGGGGTCTGGCGATGGGGTCTGGGGAACCAGATGGGGGCGATGGGGTCTGGGGAACCAGTTGGGGCGATGGGGTCTGGGGAACCAGATGGGGGCGATGGGGTCTGGGGAACCAGATGGGGGCGATGGGGTCTGGGGAACCAGTTGTGGCGATGGGGTCTGGGGAACCAGTTGTGGCGATGGGGTCTGGGGAACCAGTTGTGGCGATGGGGTCCAGTGGGGCGAAACCAGGCGTGGGGTCTGGGGAACCAGTTGTGGCGATGGGGTCTGGGGAACCAGTTGTGGCGATGGGGTCTGGGGAACCAGTTGTGGTGGTGGAGCGTTGAAGGCGTGACGTTCGAAGGTAGGAGAAACGTCTGTATTCTCCTCATACTCTTGACACATCAGTTTGTTGATCCTCCATCGCAGATTTTATCTTGGCCTCCAAAGCTGGGTTGTTTTCACGAGTGCGACTGGCCATCGTGTCTAGTAATAATTGATGAGCTTTGCCAAGCGTCTGCAGCTTGGCAAAGTTACAGACGCTTGATGATTGCATGATTGCATCTACGGCATTCAAGTTGTCCATTTGTGCATCTGGATTGTTTCTTTTTAAGTATTGTTGAACAAGTTCCTCGGTAGATGACGGTAGGAGTTTTGTCAGCAAACTGCAATTGACTGGGGCCACTTTGTAGAGGGACGGAGGCCTTCATACCCTCCACCATGGCCGTTGGTAGAGGGCCATGTGTTCCCTCCACCTGGTTTAATCTTGGTAAGCTCCACGCTCTTTTTGTGGGCAGGGGACCTGGTATATGTTTTGGTTGGGGCTTCTGCTCTTCTGTAGGCCGAGGGGGGGGGGGGGGTTTCGTTTGAATCCTTTTAAGCCATTCGAGGCATCTTAAGTTCCAGGCGTGGTGTGCCTTGGAGCAGTTTGGGCACTTAGCTTGGACAGGCTGTTTTGCCTTGTTTATCAAGGCATATTTTCGTGTTGTGGAGCCGGCTGCAGACTCCACGCCTCACTGGATGTTGTCAGCCGTCCATGTGAGGTCCTAATCTGACATTTGAAGCATCTGAGGGGCTCTAGGGTGTAAAGCCTTTGTTGGACCACGCCCCAAATGCCAAGATCAATTTTCTCTGGAATCTATCCTTTTACTGTGAGAAAAACTGGTCAGGTTTCCTGCTTCTTGGATTTCACCCGGTATCTTTCTGCTGACGCCACATAATTCAGCTTTCCGAAATGCTTTAGGGCCATGTGCAAGGGATAGTGGAGGTCAATGATTTTCCTTATTTTGTCCTCTGGCTTGAGTTCGTTGCATTTCCTGTAATTTTTAAGAATCGTTATAAACTGTCTCGTCTTTAGGCCTCGGAATATATTCGCCTCTGAGGTTTGGCTTTGCTCTGATCTTGAGCTGGGGGTACTCTTTATTTTTCAGGTCCACTACAGTGGCGTACGAGGACTTACCCTCAGCATGCTGCACCTTGAAGACTGGCAGTAGGGATTTTGTCTGGGTAGATGGAGTGTTCATCGGTGGAGGCCCCTCTTCTTAATTGGTCTTAGTGGAGTGGTTCGTCCTGTTGGCTTTGGTCACAGGATGGTAAATGCATCACTGTCAGAACTTGAACTGGAGAGAGTCTTCCTTTTGTGATCGGGAGCAGCAACGTTTGTTCCCACAGAATCTGGTGGTCCATTCTATCAATAGGATCGTCTGGATCACTACCCCCAGATCTAGATCACCATCGCTAGATCGTGTAGGCCTCTTGTTGTGCTGATCTCTCCCCTGTACACTGCAATACACCTCGATATCGGAAAGATTTATATTACATTTGAGACACTCCAGCGGTATTCCAATGTTACTGTACTAATTGGGCATGAGAGCTGAGTGGACAGCGCTCGGTATTCGTAGTCCTTCGGTTCCAGGTTCGATCCCCGGTGGAGGGAGAAACAAATGGGCAGTTTTTTCACCCTGAGGCATTGATTGATTGATGAAGATTAAGCCACCCAAGAGGTGGCACGGGCATGAATAGCCCGTAAGTGGTACAATTTTTTTTCTCAGTATTCTGAGTTTGCATTTAACCATCAAGCTGCTATCGCGGGGGAGGATACTGCTTCACAGTCTTTATGAGGGTGTCCAGCTGCTGAACACCTTTGTTGACCAGGAGGGTGGCTGTGTTGATGGCTTCAGGGTGGCCAATGCATGATTCAGGAACTCTTAAAGCTCTTCCAAAGTCATTGGTTGCTTCACATTCCAGAAGATAGTGAAGTAATGGCTTTTCTGTGACAGTTTGGCAGAAGATGCACTCTCTCTGTCGGGGTTCACCAATCTCCCAGTTGCATCTGTAACCTAGACGTAGTCTATATAACCTAACTGCTATTTCCCTGTGGATTCCTTTTGGGATATTTAACCTTTCTAATTTGGTTGCCTGAAGATACCATGTTGCAGATGGCGAACCTTCAGCTATTCTCTGGTGTAGGTAGGCTTTGTTGAGATGTGAGAGTTTTTTGGTGTTGATGTTTTTTATGTTCTCTAGGCTGGGTTGAATTGTTTTATGTATCACTGGATGACGAGTTGCCAATTTAGCAATTTCATCAGCTTTTTCATTTAATGGGATTCCAATATGGGATGGGATCCAGTTTAAACTTATGTTGAGTCCTTTGCCTTTAGCGACTGCTCCAAGATACAAAATGGTGGTAATTATTTCCACATTATCTTATCACTGTTTTTGTCCTAGTATTTGAAGTGCAGCTTTTGAGTCTGTGTGTATGATTGCATTTTGAGTGTTATGTGCAATCACATATGCGAATGCCTGTTGTATGGCAAACAGCTCAGTTTGGGTTGATGATACTAGTCCTCCCAGTCTCCAATATGCCTGTACGCTGGTCGTGCAAAGAGCAGCGCCAGCACTCTCATATTCTGTGTCCACCGATCCGTCTATGAAGATGTGGGTGGCTCCTGCTACTGCTATGCTATACATTTGCTCTTCTATTATGCGCCTTAGGATTGTCAGGTCATAGGCAGCCTTTTTCATTGGAGACTTTCTATTACTATTTTGAAAGTAGGCTCTTCCCACGGCGCGGAAGGAGTGTAATTTGGGTGTGGATGATCACCCTCTCTATCAAGAATCATGTTTTTTAAATGTAGTCTGTTTAGGACTTTTCCTGCTCTTGCAACCCAAGAGTTTCCATTGTTTTGGCCAAGTCCAACCACCAAGGCCTGCCGTACTGGGATTGGATCAGAAGAAATAATTATCTTACTGACAATTGTAGCTGTCCTTTGTGATATTCTTTCTTGTAGAGAGGGCAAACCCGTCTCCAGTCTAAGAGTTTCAAGCCTGGTCCACATGGGGGGGCTCCCAGTGCGGCTCTCATAGCATTGTTTTGGGCAACTTCAAGCTTTTTCCACTGTTGGTGTGATAGATTTGTGAGTGCAGGTGCGGCATAATCGATCACTGATCTGACTGCCTGTACATAGTATGTGCGAAGGACTTGCAGATTGGCTCCTCCAGAAAGGGAGGTTAGCGACCTGAGAATTGCCGTCCGGGCCGCAGTTCGCTCTCTCAAGTAAGTGACCTCAGCATTAAAATTCATGTGTGTGTCCAGGATGATTCCTAGATACTGATAGGTGTCGACCCATTCAATTGGTTGACCCTGTACTGTAAGTTGGATGTTGGGCTTCGCTATTTTTATGGGCATGGCCTTTGACTTTGAGGGGTTGAGTTTGATCCCAATCTGTTTTGCCTCTTTATTGATGCAGTCTAAGCATTTGGGTGCAAGGCGCGCCGCATCCCTTCCTTTTATGATGATGACAAAGTCGTCCGCGTAGTTTAACAGCCTGCAGTGATGTGGAAGTTTCAACCTCATTATTCTTTCCATTAAACAGTTGTAGAGAAGAGGGCTGAGAATACCCCCTTGCGGTGTACCATTTTCGTGTCTTTTGTACTCAGAGACTGTGCCATGAAGTTTTACTCTTGCTTCTCTGTTTGAGACAGTTTTTGGTCCAGGAGAGCAGGTTGCCTCTGACCTCTTTGTCAATGAGGCAGCAGAGAATAGCTGGGGCGCTAGCCAGTTCAAAGGCTTTTTCGAGGTCCAGGAATATCAGCATTCCTGGTCTGTCATTCAAGTGGGCTAACAGAGTTGTAATACATTCCACTGTGCCAACCCCTCTTCTATAAGCATACATATCATGGTGCAGTTTAGGCATTTTCCACTCCAGTCTGTTGAGTGCCATTCTGTCAGCCGTCTTGGCTGCACAGCTTTGGAGAGAGATGGGCCTGGGATTAGCTGGATCTTTGGGTTTTGGGATCGGCACTATGTCTGCTCTATTCCAAGCAAAAGGTCTAGTTTGAGAAGTCCAGGCTAAATTAATTAACCTTAGGTATGCAGCGTCTCCCTCTGGGCCGAGGTTTCTAATCATTTTATAGGTTATTTTGTCGGCTCCAGGGGATGTATCCTTGGAGTTTTTCTTAGCCCGATTGAGCTCATCCAGTGTGAAGGGGGCATTAGTGTCAGAGACTTCTTCACATGCTGTAAGGATTCTGTGCCACCTTTCTTCCTCTAGTCCGGTCTGTACTGCTAATACATCTGGTGGAAGTTGATTGCTGGCTGCTCTCTCTGCAAACCTGGTTGCCAGTACTTCGGCTTCCTGTTGAGGATCCTTGGGGTGTGGAGCTTTAGGTGTTTTATTCCCTTTGGCTCGGTGAATTTGCTGCCACATCTCTCCGAGAGAAGTGTGTTCATTCAGGTGTGAACACCATTCCAGCCACTTTTGTTCATTTATTTGTCTGGTCTCTCGATGCACATGTTCCTTGACCTCACAAAGTAAGATCCTGTTGCGGTCACTTGGCTGCATTTTGTATAGCTTTCTTGTTCTGTTGAGTCTATGGTTGAGTTCTTTGACACGTTCCCAATAGTACCAATGATCTTTATGGTGTCCGGTGGACTGTTTTTTCAGTGGGATTGAGTGGTTGGCTGCACTTTGAATCGCTTTGACAAATTCTTGTTCTGCCTGATTAATGTCTTCGGGAAGATCATAGTTTCTTTGCCACTCTGAAATGAGGTTTTGAAATCGGTCCCAGTTTGCTAAAGCAAAGTTCCAGGCTTCAGATGAAGGCGGAGGTGGGGTGGGTAGGTCTAACTGAAGATCAATTTGGACCCCATAGTGGTCGCTTGTGAGTGTGGGCTCAACTGACCATGTTGCTGCATCTCTTAGGGAGGCTGAAACGAAGGTTAGGTCTAATCTGCCTCCTTGGATGTGGGTAGGTTCATTCTTGTTTAGGATTTGTATTTCTGGAAGCTGGTCCAGTAGATGTGTAATGTGAATGCCGGCTTCATTTGTTCTGTTCGAGCCCAGTGCCTATCGATGATAGGCATTAAAATCTCCACAAATGATTGTGTTTGTTGTTGTCGCGTGTCCAAATAAGAGATCCATTTCGGCATGTGGAGGCCTGTACACATTGAACACTTCAAGTTTGTCATGTCTTAGCTCAATGGTAACTCCCATTACCTCTGTCCCTGCTCCACAATTGGGTGGGCTGGTTATGGACTTGGAGATCAGGTCACATTTTACATAGATTGCACATCCCCTGGATTGCCCATTGATCCATGGAAGGAAGAAGCCTCGATAGCCTGAGATTTTAGGTTCTAATCCGGCTCGAAGCAAGCTCTCCTGTAGTATTAGGATGTCTATGCCCTTGGTTGCTGCTATGCATTGCAAGTGTTGCAATTTAGTGCGCAGTCCTTGCGCATTCCATTGCAGGATCTTTAGACCTCTAGGTTCTTGGAATTTGCTGATAATTCCGTGGTATCCATGGAGTCTGATGAACACGCCATGGAAGTTGCAATTGGTGTATAGGTTCTTAGTGGACCTGAAATTGACTCATCAATGTCGCTTTCCGACGAGCTGGACTATCTGTTTTTTATGGGGGTGTCTCCTGCCCTGCTGTCTTGACGGTGTGGATATTACATCTTCGAATTTCTTGAGCCTGTGCTCAATTGTCTTCCGAGTCTCTGTGGTTTGCTTGATTCCATGTGAAGACAGCAGACTTTCGATCAACTCAGTGACCAAAGTTTTGAGCATTGGCCAGAGAGCGTCCAGTTCAGTGGGAGCACCATTTAATGCTGTGCAGGTTTGGGGCCTAGTAGCTTTTAGACCCTTCTCGGTGGTAACTTTGACACTGGAATTGCTACTCCTATTGGCCCCAGTGTGCTTGCTGGATGAAATGGGAGGCCGACTGCTTTGAACATGATTCTTGTGTCCTCCATCTTTCTTTTCGTCCTGTACAGAGGTCTTCTCACCCTTCACCATGGCCGATGGTGAAGGGCCGTGTGCCCCCTCTTCCTGAGTGGGTAGACCCCACGCGGTTTTAGTGGGCATGGGAGCTGGTATTCGTTTTGGTGGAGGTTTCGGCTCCGCTGTTGGCGTGGTGGGGTTCGTTTGAAGCCTTTTGAGCCTTTCAGGGCATTTCAAGTTCCAGGCATGATGTGCCTTGGAACAATTTGGGCATTTTGCCTGAACAGGGTGGTTTGCCTTGAGTTTATCAATACATGTTTTTGTGTCATGGGGCTGGCTGCAGACTCCCGCTCGCCAAGGTGTCTGGCCAGTAACTAAGGCCTGGGAAACAAGGGAGGCCTGTACTAGATTTTTCTCAAGATGGCATCTGTTTACAATCACCCCTGGCTACGATATGGGTGACCCCTTTACACCACGGGACACTTGAATGGTGCCTGGCACCCTATGGCATGTATATACGCCATGCGCACGGTGGGACATGTTACTCATAGTGTATATATACGCCATACACAGTTAAAGGGTTAAATGAGTGTGTGGACGCTGCCGCCAAGAAAGCTATCTGCGCCTGTCCCATCTGAAGTATAGGTATTCCTTATTCCGACTTCTACCCAGTTATTCATTCCTCAATCGTTGGCCGTTGGCAGTGTTTTTGGTCTGCTGTTACTGGTAACACGCTGCGTGCTCTTAAGGCTGGCGTCCCCGTGGCCTTCCTCCTACCACCGTAACCGGCATTGGGGAAACGGCTCTGGTGAGGTTACGTATTGGCCATATCTGTTTAACTCGCGGGCACTTAGAGCCGCCATTTTCCTTATTGACCGAATTGTTGTCCCTCTTACGGTCGTGCATATCCTTGTTGAATGTCTTGACTTCTAGAATGTGCATGCGTCTTGCTTGCCGACTCTCCCTCGCGGAACCTGTCCCTCAATAGAATCCTTGGTGAATCAGATGTTTTTGATGTTCACCTTATGCGCTTTTGTTCTCGTATTTGCATACTTAATGATATTTAACGCCTTTTGAATATTCCACACTTTTGACGGTGCTACATAGCCTTCCCGGCATTGTGCCTTCTTTTGATAATTACTTGCTCACTTTATCAAAACCCCCATACACAGCATGAACTGCCTCAAAATATGCTGACCATAGTGTCACTTGACCACAATCTTTTCCCTAAAGATGTCAATACATTCCAGCGATGAGTAGAACCAGCACAAAATTAATACATACGCAGAACAGTCAAAGAATTTGACAGTCTGTAGACCACACTCTGCTACTTTTACTCTCACTAAGTTCAGGTTGTGTCCAGCAAAGGTGACAAAGATGGCACATGTTATCTTATGCGTTATTGTATGCATACGAGGTATTATTGTAAGACTGACCACAGCAGTTTGATAGTGAAATTTTCTCATTAAGAAAATCCACGATAGTGTTAGATCCTTGGCTCCATGAGAAAAGATGGGGATGAATATAAAAAAACGTTCCACAGGCTCACAGTCTTTAATTAATGTATCAGACAGTAAATGTCAATTTATGTGTGAAAGATGTCTGGAGTGGATTCTACACTTATTGAATAATAGTTTGACTATTTTTCTTCAAGTATAGTTTATAGAACCTGTTGTCCCAGTAATTCAATAAATTCCTCACAAATATTTGCAGATAAATATGACGGATTCCATTGTCCAGAATTTTCATTCATTGAGATGTTCTTACAAGAAAGGATCAAATTCACTCAGCATCTCTAGTATACCTAAATAGTTCTCATTTTTTGCTGACTCAATAATCTGATTTTCTCCACAAAATTGCAAACCTCTAGAGGCAGGAATGGGAATTACAGAACCCACAAAGTGGCAACACTTTATGGCAATAATCCTGCTGACCGATGTTGCTCAAGTAATAAAGAATCTACACTTCCATTTTCTTTGTTGTATCAAATATGATATCATGCACTTTCAATGTTCTCCAGTTTCTTGTTCTACAATATATTTCTGTGCTTCCAGTCATTGAACGCCAAATGTACAAAGGAGACATTTATTCTTGGACAATAGGCGACATGCAAAGCAGTACAAACGGTCTTGGGATAGTGAATAGAGTAGCCATTCACGTTTTACATACTCGGCATTCTGCAGTTCACGTTTGAACACAGTTTGATAAATAACTTTCCTTCATATTCTCTAATCTAACTGTTTTATACACTCTGCGTGAATTTGAAAGGTTGCTGTAATGATTGTCATGATGAGGTGTAATGATCTGGTGCTCAGATCATGGTTCTCCCCTCCTTCCTTCTCCCTCTCTCCCCTTTTCTCCCCTCCCATTGCCCGTCATTTGTCTCCCCCCTCTTCCTCCCCCCCTTTTGCCCATTTGTCAAGGGCCAACAGGCTGACCTGAGGGTGGTCTTGCTAGCGGGTCCTCGGTACCTAGGCTCCCCGCACTCCATTCCCTCTCGGTTCCCTCTCCATCCACCTCTCAATTCCCTCTCTTCCCCTCTCACTGGTTCCTTCCCCATACCAGACGAGTCAAATGTCCCTACCCTTTATCTTGAAGGAGACGGGGTTGAACATAATTTATCAGTTTCCATAAACATTGCTCTGATGGGCCCCAGGCTCGGGTCGTCCACTACAGTGGCACCGTGTCCCCTTCGCATAGCTGGGAGAGCTGACTAAACCTTCAAGAATTTCATGTATCCTTCCACTGCAGATCATGGAAGGTGATTGGCGGTAGATAAGTGCCAAGTCCTTATTGACCCTGGAGAACCAGACCTCAGCCCTAGTTTTAAATGGTTGGGTGTAGCCAATTAATGGGTGGAACCCTGGGGCTGTATTAGATTGTGGGAGGAGCAAATCCTTTCCACCGGTAAGCTGGTAAAAAAAATTTCGGCAGTGTGTTCTGGAGCTTAGAGGGGTACAGGTCCCCTTGACCTGTGGGAGGCAAGCCGTCTACAACTTGGCCTCAGTGCGGTTTTAAGGTATTGTGCACTTGATGTCCTCAGTAGATACCCATTTTGCTTCTTAGGATGTGCTAGGACCTTTCAAATTTGATTTTAATGTACGTGCTCAATTAATATAGAGAAATACATTGGTTCCAGTGGTATTCAGTTAATTCCCCTTGTTTTTTTTATTTATATTTTTCTACTTTGTCATTTTTATGTGTGCTGTGTTGACTTGGAAAGTTCCCGTGTTCTCCATCTTATGAATATTAAAGTCGCTCTTGAATCCCCCTTCAGTTCAGTAAGATTACAGTATTAATCCTTTAAGATTCATTTACTTGCCCCTTTGAGTTCCATGATTATTTAGTCCTTCCTTTTTGGGGAAAACAATAATTTTGACACTTATGTTTTGGGAAGGTGGTGGCAGTGTTTAATGATTCTAATTATTAGTTATAAATTAATAACCTCTATTCTTGTTGTGTCCTCCTCATTTAATATTCAGCTTATATTCGTGACAGTCCAGTGAGGGGTCATACTGAACTGTAACAGTGTTAAGCTGGGGTATTGGATGAAGGGAAAGAGTAGAGAGAAGTAAGGATAGCGCTCAGAATTATTACAAAAGAGGGCAAGGGTTATTACAGAGGGACCATTACGAATCCAGTAATCTATTGTGTTGGTAACATTAATATTCCATAGCCCTGGATCTGTCTCTTGAATTGCAAACTCCTTTACTGTTACAGATTTGGGCATTTCCTCTTGTAAGATGTCACCATCAGCAGCAACAGGCAATGATGGTATGTCTGCTGAAACTGGATGATTGGTAGCAGGAATGGTTGTAGGTGTGGATGCTGTATCTGAAGGAACAGTACTAGTGGCTGACATTGTAGGTGTGGATGCTATATCTGAATATCTGAATTGAAGGAGTGGATGCTGTATCTGAACAGTACTAGTGGCTGACATTGCATCTGAATGACAGGTGGCTGAGTGGATGCTGTATCTGAAGGAACAGTACTAGTGGCTGACATTGCTGTATCTGAATGATGACATTGCTGGTGTGGATGTGAAGGAACAGTACTAGTGGCTGACATTGCTGGAGTGGATGCTGTATCTGAAGGAACAGTACTAGTGGCTGACATTGCTGGTGTGGATGCTGTATCTGAAGGAACAGTACTAGTGGCTGACATTGTAGGAGTGGATGCTATATCTGAAGAAATCGTGAGTGGTTGTCGTTTCATCTGAGTTGAACCACGATGTTAATTTTGGAAGTTTTCCTATTTTCTCCTCCTGCAGCGCTCTACCTCTTCTGTGCTCTACTCAAAACTGTTTCATTTCTGCTGAAATGGTTTTTCTTGTTGAAATATATATCTTAAATATTTAGCATTTGGTCCTACACCAGGATGTAGGGATGTATTATATAAGTGTGCTGGCACCAAAACCTAAATATGTAAACATTCTGCTTCCATAATGAACATGTCCTATGCTCGTGGGGCCCCCAAGCAAGTGCCCCACGGTCCCATGTGGTAAGACGGCTCTGGTTGTATGGTCCCTCGTCCAATAAAGTAGTAGTCTTCATCTCTGGTCAGTGTTTTGTGATAACATGGTTCACCAACATGTAGGACATATTAAGAGTTAAATGTCAATATTTTGTCCCATTAGGTTTTCAGGCGTATCAAATCAATACAGAAATGTTTGCTATTAGTTGATTGCCACAATGCATCAATAGTATTCTTCCATACACATTAATTTGCTGTATAGACGAGGAAGATTTGAAATGTACTATCCTTGAATGAATTTGTGTGCAATGTCACCAATCTGCATATGGGTGGGAGGTCGAGGATAGGTAGTTGGAGTGTAGCAACTATGAGAGCTTTGCGTACAGCTACTGGGTGCACAGGGAGAGTAAGGCTCTCGTGGGTTGGTCCTTATCCACTGGATTTACTGGGTCTGATTCTCTGATAGTGAGTTATCAGTGCAACCAGAGCACTCTAAAGGACTTGTCCAAGTATTTTCATCAATATTCTGTAATTACTGAATCACATCTGGGGTCGTCTGGGTTGACGAGCCCAGAGCTGAATGCTCTAATGCGAGAGGCAGTATTTAAGGGTTTAATGCAAACACAAATGAACACAACATTTTCTTTTACAAAACATTTGTGATAATATGTTGGGTAGTTACGATATTTTAAATTGGTGGGAACAAAGATTTTGTCGTGTCAGAGACACTGGGAGGCCTAATTGATCAGTCTCGTGGTCCATTCATGTGTAAATCCTGTGTTAACACTTTCTATGACAACCAATCGGAAACACCTTTTGACACTGCCGGTTTGCAATGAAGTATCCAAGAGTTCCAAGCTGGATACTCTGGCACTGAAAATAAATGGCATGCAGAATCAGCTATTCAGGAATGATGCGTCGTGTTAGCAAGATATAAATTTACTGACAGGAGCAACACTTGTGGTGCCACACAGATAATTACATGTTCACCGTCGGGTCTGTGTTAACTCAAACCTACACTGGTTGTTGGTGTTTAGCAGTGTAACTCTGGCTGGTCATGGGAATCTGCATGCATCCAGGAAGACCATATCACAATAAAAAGTCTTGTACTAACAGTAAGCCTGCCTTCTATGCTCGTCCCATAGACTTGTACACACAGCACATGTGGTCCCTGAGTGATGTGGTGGAGGCTGACTCCATACAGTTTAAAATGTAGGTATGATGATAGTCCCTCTCCACGCCTCTGTGGTACGTGCTGGAATATGGGTTTAAACCCACAGTGTGTTGTAGAGTTGTTGCTGTTTGGTGTCTTATGCTGGGAACCCGGCCACATAAAGTCGTGCCAGTCATCCTTATGTTTGCTTCATCACCTTTTCCCGATGATACGTGTACTATAAAGAACATGCCATCCTCAGCCTGGAACACAGACCATATATGTTACCTTGGCTTGACGATATGTGCAGCATCTCTCCCTCTTGTCTTACATGAGTAATGCTTGTGTCATTACTTCTCTACTCCCTTCTTCCCATCCTCAGTTTCATAACGATTTCCAAGTCGTTTGGAAACCCAGAGACCTTCACCAGCTCAACCCCTTCTCTTGATCCTTTATGGTCTGAATGAGGGGTGTTCTGTGTGGGTTCTTCATCCCGTATACACTCCCTTTGTTCCCCAGACCTCCCCTACCCGCCATATTGGCGTTACTCCTCAACCTCCTCACTCTTCTGTTTCCGTTGTTAGTCCGTCTGACTTTGTCGAGTCTTCAGCCCTCCCCATTGACCAGACAATGACCGTCCAGGCCAATATTCATCCTCTCATCTCGACAGTCCTCATTCTCCCTCCCCACTACATAAGAGTTCATCACACATCATTGAAACTTCCACACCTGTCTTCCAGTTAGGAAGATATCACATTTAACGTTTCTAACAGAATGGCAAGAATGCCTCGGTCCTCACATAGGCTGTTTCTTCTGACGTTGTTCCTGCGTCTCACCCCGTCACGGTAGTATAGTCGACTGACGTCGTTATGGAGGCTACTGGCGTTCACATTCCTTCCTATTATACGGCAACTGATATTCAGCACGCCGCTGTTTTAATCCTTATCCACTCGTTTGAACACACTTCACCAATGCCTCCATCCTCCCACAATGAAGTTCAGTAGCCATCAGGGCCATTCATGCAGCTAAACCTATCAGTTGGAAATCTTAAGTCGCCTTCATTATTGTTGATACCTTTCTCCAACACATGTTGTGGATGATCGGAAAGATCGAAGATAAATTTGTTCCAAACTTTGTACATGTTCTTCATCGCTGCAGTTCAGTTATTGCAGATCTGATGTTGGTAATGAATGAGAGAGTTCGCACTTTTTAGCCTTTATAGCCTGTACTCGTCTATTTCCTCCTTAACGTTGTTGTTAGTCATGTATTGAATGTCACTGTTTGTCGGAAATTCAGACACTAAATTATTAGCACCTTAGATACCAAGCAAAAACGGTTATGTTAGGAACATACTAACTACTAACTGAATTAAAAAGAAGTTTCAGTGGCTTCTCAAGGAAAATGGGATATTCGCCATGTCACCAATTTGTTTATTTATTTACGCTCAAAACGTATCCTTAAAACACCAGCCTGGGGATTAAATATGAAACAAAAGTATTCTCCAAGACTAAATTTAACTAAATCACAAATAAACCTAAGGTCTACTTCCCTAACCACTACACTGTGCAATGCCCCTTGAGGCGCTCGACAGTTGGTGTGCAACGTGCCTCAGGGATCTCTTGGGTATAGAGTACTATTCAAATCTGGCGTGCGGGGACGCGGGTACGTAATGGATGACTGAGGGCTCCAGTGATTGTCCGCCATTTTGAAAAAATCCCAGTATGTCCCAGGGCCGTGGGGAGCTTCAGTTTCAAGGAAACAACCAAGTCAGATGCATTCTCTAAGAGCTCGCGGTCCAGGAAAATGACTGAGGACAAAATACGAGACATATTGTATGAGAGCGATGGATGATGATTTAGACTACAATCCAGATAAAGACCTAACACAGATGTCTGACACGAGTGAGTGGGAGAATGAGGTGGAAAAGGTCACCAGTGTGTACACGCGCCTAACCCGGCATGCCTCGCTGCCCTGGGTCAACACCTGCTAGAGTCACCACCACCGTATGTGTCCTCTGATGCCAGTTTATTTAGGGATATAACATGTGATGAATCATTCTCGGGCTTCAGTGAAATAGACTTCGATACAAGCAGTGTTGACGAACCGAGTACGAGTAGCGATGGTGTTACTAGGCGGGGTTTTGCTGCCCCAGTAACACGCCGACGCAAGTAGCAGCGTGTCACGCGGCCGGAGGTCAATGACGACAGTGTTCCCTCAACATCAGGTGTTCATGGTAGGCCTACACTACGCAGAACACACTCATCTCCTGGCATACCTATAAGCAGCTCTTGCACACCTATACGCAGCTCTAGCACAAGACGACGGAGCTGTGTTTTTGGTGCTCGTGGTAGTGTTGGCCATGGTGTTGGCGTTAAAACCAAACCCACAGGTGTACTTGTGTGGGAGGATTGTGAAAATTTTGTCCCACAAATTCCAATATTTGATGGTACCGATGTTGGTGTGACACCGTTATTTGCCTATACAGGTGATGATATGGCTGAAATTGACTGTTTTATGGCGTATTTTGACAAGGAATTCATGGACCTTCAAGTTGCAGAGACGAACAGATATGCTCACAGCCTCATTGACTCGGGCATTTTACCTGCCTCTTGCATGACACGATGGAAAGACACGACAAATGAGGAAATGTGTGTGTTTTAGCATTTAGCATGATAATGATAACATTCTGAAAAACGTGATCCAGGATTATTGGAGCAAAGACAGCCTTGTTCCATCCCCTGTGTTAAACCGGTACATGTCGTGTGATAGGTGTCTGCACTTTGAGAACAATGATAATGAAGACAGACAGGACAGACTTTGGAAGCTGCGGAAGATTTTTAGTGATATGAGAGGAAAGTTCTGTGATTACTTTGTACCAAGGCAGAATGTGGTGATTGATGAATCGCTAGTCCTCTTTAAGGGACGACTTACGTTCAGGCAGTACATCCCATCAAAGCGGCATTGATTTGGACTATGTTTTTCGTGGTATGTGACTATGAAACTGGTAAAGTCATGGACATGATACTGTATTCAGGTACAGACGTTGACATACCAGGTGAAGATCCACACGGGCTCTCTGGCATTGTCAAAACACTCGTGGAAGCGTTGCTGAACTATTGGCATATTCTATTCACGGACAACTACTATATCAATCCCTTGCTGACCAGGTTCCTCCTTGACCACAACACCGGCGTATGTGGCACCGTCAAGGCCCACAGGAGGAAAATGCCAGTGTT